CCTTGGACGGGAAGGGCCTGGGACGTGGGGCTGCGGGAGACGCCGTGTGGGGCCGTCCGGGGTCCGGACGCTCGGGCGGCCGCGGTGGCAACTTCCCGGAGTGCTGGAGGCGGCTCTCTGCTCCCCCTGGCGGCGGGGCCGGGGTCACCGTTTCTCTGGCCCAGCCGCGCGCAGCCCAGCGCGAGGGCGCCGGGCCGGGAGGATCAGGACACTCCGGGCTCTGCCCGTCCCATCCCTTCCGTGCAACAATGAATGGACCTGCGGTGCCAGGTCCGGACGGAAGCGGGCACCTCCAGCCCAGTTGGCCAATAGCGCTGGCACCCGGCCTGGCGCCCGCCTGGGCCCGCCGGGTTCGCGGGCCGCTCCCTGGGGCGGGGGGGTGGCAGGCTGCGGTCCGCGCTTCCAGTAGGGCGTCCGGGAAACTTCAGGGACCCCTCATTAAATGGTAGCTCGGTATGGTGTATTGGTTAAGGGAGGGGGTTTCTGAAATCCCGGCGCCACTAAGGATGACCTCGACCTAGTTGTTTCACTCCGGATGTCCACTTCCCGAGTGAAAAACAGGGCTGCTGATGTTCCTGTTTAAGAGAAAATCTGTGAAGACCCAGCACACGTAGGGAGCTGTCAACAAGTGTTGGCTGTTGATTGTTGGAATGAGTTTTTAGGGGCGTGCGGGGCACGAGAGGGAGCTGGAGTCGGTCTGGCTCCATCTGCATGCTGCAGATGTAGGGCTGGATACCACCCCTAAGCCACCATGCTTACAGTCTCTACACTCAGGTCCCTTAACTTCTCAGAACCTGGGTTTCCTTCTCTGTAGCCTGGAGATAATACCACCCACTCACGATTAGGGGCTGGGCAGCCTCCCCGGCGAGTGCTGGATAAAACTGGGACCTTGTGCAAACAGAAGGCAATTTGTCAATAACTCCAGGAGGTCGGAGGTCAGTAGAGACTAGGAAGCACCAAGGAAATGAAACTTTGAAGGCTCTTGGGAGCCTCCCACATCGCTGTTAGCCTAGTGTGCTGGAACCTTCAGGATGAGGGTGCCTGGGTGGCACTTTCTCAAGTTTGAAGGAAGTAGGCCCAGTAGGACCTCACATCCTAGGCCAGAGATCTCTTCAAGAACACCACTGCTGATGTCCTGGAGACCTAGGTCTTTTGTTGAGCACTCCCAGGATGGACAACTGCATATTTTACACCAGCCCTGCACATTTGGGGAGCATATATTCTTCACTGACCCTGCCTCCTGCTTTACACTTTCCTTCTTTGGTCGTCTTAACTTCCCGTTAATCTGATATTAGGGAAGTCTTGGTGATCCTGCAGCATGCTGCTTACTGTGGTGACGATCTCAGTTCTTTTATGAACTTTCCAAAAGGTCAACCCCACTATAGGCTGCCAACCTGTTTCCTTTTCAGAAAGCAGCTTCCGGTTCTGAGGTCCTGGAGATGCCACTTCCTTCTCTAAGTAAAGAAAAAAAGAACTCCTAGTAGGTTTTCCTTTGCATAGAGCAGTGGGAACCCGGCATGTAAGGCTTCTGGGCCTGTTGAGACTGGGGAACAGAAAAGGTGTTTTTGGGTTTGGAAATACAGGGTGTCCAGTGGATAGAACTGTAGACACATTATGTTGTAACAGAATTCTTTTCTTTCATAGTTAGGAATCAGCTTCTAAACATCTATAAAGAGCTTAAGAAGCTAGAGTGGTATCTTGGTGCATGAAAATTTTTTGATGACGGGAAAGTTTTAAATAAATCCCAAATCATTGAGTCATATTTGAACAGTTTTGCTCTTTGCTGAAATGAGCCCTAAGTCAACAGGCTACAATAACTATACAGCACCAAATTCTGTTTAAGTGGTTGAATGCAAGTGATTTAATTGGAATATTGAATATTATTATGTAGCAGGGACACCTTTTAAAAATGTCAGCAACCCAGACTCTTCCTGTTCTTTTATCTCTGGGAACTTCAACTAATAGGTGAATGACACATAGGCAGGGAGGCAACATTTCTTGTTAGACACCAGATTTTTCTTGGCTAAAATCTTGTTTTGGGAGGAAAAAAATGATCATTCAGAATTACAAAGGTAGAGACTGTGCTATCCATCTGTACACCCTGGACCTGCAATGGTTAAGGCCTGGCCCATAACATTATAAAAGTTGGCTAAATGAGGTAGATGGCCATACCTGTTAACATAGTCTCATTAGTTGTCTTGTGTCTCATTGGGCAAATGAAGCTGAGCCCAACTTTATTTGTAGAGTTTACTGTTTAGAATCAGATTCCACAACTTTGACATACATCTAGGCCTTGCTATAGAGAAGATATGGTTGTCCTCATTCTGTGGATGAGAACATAGAGGCCCAGCAGGTCAGATGGTTGTTAGGCCAGTTCTTATTGCCTAGCTGGTGGGTGATACGGGCATAGCCTTCTGAATATTCACTTACAGGACAGTATAATTCCACACTTGCTGGGACATTAACTACCCAAGGGAGGACATGGAATTAGATCTAAATTAAAAGCTGCATTGGAAGGAAGGCGGGGAGTCAGTTGCAAATGTGGCAGTGCAAAAAGGTACTTTTCATTTATTTCTGAAGCATCTCCTGTGTGCTGGGCTTTCAAACATAAGTACAAAGGTGTGAGACCTTGTCTAGAAAACTGAGTTGTCTAATACGGTAGGCACAAAGAGCTATTTAAGCTTAAAACAAAGTTAAATAAAATTTAAAATTCAGTTTCTTAGTCATACTAGCCACATTTCAAGTGCTCAGTAGCCATGTGTTGGTCAGTGGAGATTTAGATCCTTTCCATCATCGCAGGATGTTCTTTCTTTTGGATAGTACTAGTCTAGATGTAGCTGGTACTCTTTAAACATTCAGGGTTCTGTTCCCCTTGAACAATTAGAAATATTATTATGTTGAACCATATGAAATTGTCCATTCTATATGTCAAAAACAGTTGACTGGTGGCAGTTCATGCGCTTCAATCTAATGAGATAACATCTTTAGAAAGCATTCCCAATTCTTTGGGTGCATTGTAAATTGCACAACCAAGAAAAAAATAAAAGGAGGGTGGATGGGTAGCAGCATAGATAATGGCCCTGCCTTGTAGTGATTCTTACCTAATACCAACAACATCAAAATGGCCAAACCAAACATGAAAAGTAGTTATTGGGCAAAAAGCATATAGCTTGTATGGAAAGTAAATATGTACTTCTAAGTGAGAGAGTCTGGGCAGGAGGGCCACTTAGTGTTATAGAAAATTAACTTAGGTACTTCCTAGGAGACTGTTTTCTTAGCTAGACAAATTCTGATGAGTCTCCTGAAATAGGCAACATGACTCCCAGATCTAAAAAACAGATGCATCTAGTGTGTTTCCTTTAAGTGCGTAAGTGACCTGCATCTCCCACCTGTCTAGCAATGGGATATAACTTTAATTTATAAAGTTTTGTGATTTCTGTATTTAGTTATTTTGTTAAGACTGGAAAAGCTGCTAGTCTCCAAACCTTACATGTTCCAATATTACTGGCGTTTTCATACTTGGCTGGCATAAGTTATTTCCTGGGTCAGTGACTATTTGCAAGGCTCTGTTGTACTCGTTATAACTTTGAAAGGCTTATTGGATGGTAGTTGGGAAGAATTTCTGAATTCTTAACTGTACTAGTGGACTGGTCTTAGTACTCTACATAGAGTAACATAGAATGATAGGCAGCTGTTTACTTTCTCCTTGGTCAGAGAAGAGGTCCACTAAGATTGTGTTGGGAGTTACCAGCTATTTATAGTGATGATGAATATCGTCTGCTGTTTCAAAAGCTGGAATAAAAGACCATTTTAAGCCAAAGCTTTAATTCCATACCCTAAGCCTGGTCGTGGGATGAGCAAACATAATCTGTTTTAGGCTATTTTGAGACTGATTCTAGACTGGTACCCTGCATGGACTGAATTTGGCCTTCACTTGGGATTTGCCTGGCCAACTTCATGTTATTAAACAAGACACCTTTTAAAATGGAGAATATTTTTATTAAAATCTAGATTTTGGGGGTTTTCTTGGGAAAAATGGGAATTTCTGGCCACACTAGATCTACCTTCTTGCATGGCAAACATGGTCCATGGTCGTCCACTCTGGGCAGGGCCTGTGCTCTCATTCATCAGCATCGTACCCTGATTTACATGATGTGTGTTGGTATTGGTGGTTCCTGAGAAGTCATTGTCTACCCCAACATCAGAGAGCAGAGAGGAGTTGGAGGGCATCTGAGTGTAACCTGAGTGGTCATTGGTGTCTCTTGCTGAGCTGCAGCTTGGGGCAGTGAGAGAAGCACTGGTTGGGGGTTCCAGTCCCAGAGATAAGTGGCGTGACCCTGGACATGACTTTTCTCCTCCCTGGACTTCAGTTTCCTCCTTGTGTAAAATGAAGCTAGGCCAGATGGCTCCATCTTTCAGG